TTGGATGGATGTATTAAAAAAATAGGAGACAGAGAAATGATTCTTAGATAGTCCTTTTCTGAAACTCAAAAGTACACTACGCGATGTAATAAAGAATTCAGACTAGTGTAGATATAAAGACATGGGCTTAGGAGTTAATGGACAGATTCAGGTCTTGACTCTGCTACTCATTTTTACAGTGACTTTGTGCAGGCCGCCTAGCTATTTGATTTAATCTCAACTTCTATAAAATTAGGGTCGGTAGTGCCTGAGAGGGCCTTTGGGTATTTAGATGATGTATATAAACTTTTTAGCACAGCATCCAGCACAAAGTATGTCTGCAGTTGTTACTAGAAAAAAATTCACTTCTGACCTCTAGTAATTGCTTTTTAGCAAGTACATGCTGAAACTAGTGATCCGAAATAAAGATGATTTTCTTTCAGAAGTATTTGTAGGAACAGATTGCAGATTTTCATTTTGCTTGTGAAAGTTTTTGCTTATAAGTGATTTCCAAGAGCAAACATACACTGTTTATCATAATTTTCCTGGTTCTCTCTTTATTGTGTATTGTTTTATGTTAGGCATACTGAAGCATTTCTGTTCATGCTCATTTTTACTATACTACCAGCTTATATTTTAGGGAATATTATGTGTATCATACATCATTTCCTTTCCAAAAGATACTATATTCACTCAACAAAATTTAATTGAGCATCCTAGGACATATTTTGAGGGTTGGACCCCTGTGATTTGAGTCAAATCTCATTCCTTCCAGGTAAATGTTAGTTGATGACAGAGAAAGTGGTGTTTTCAGTCCCAGCTTCTGAGGAATATTGACCCGGTTATTGACTAAAAGATGAGGTATTTTCAGTCTATTTTTAAAATCACTATAAAATATCCAGGTTTAAAGATTGAGATTTTGTGTATTTTAATTTTTTAAAAAAGCCACTCTTGACGGCATACACATGAGCTAGGCACTTTCATTCCATGCACATTTATTAAGCAGCCAGTATTTGACAATTTGACAGCCACTATGTTTGGGTCTAAGTAGACAAAAACTAATAAAATTGTTTTTTTTTTTCCCCCAACCTTGAGGGATTTACAAGCAGGCAAAAGACATTGTAAAGAAATCCTTTTCTATCTTGTGAGAATAAGGCATATAACTGCCCGCACATCTGGCTTAAACAGCAGCTGTCACCTTTAAGGTAATACAGGGTTTCCTCCTTTTGGCTGAGTTTGAGTGGGGACTGATCAAGTGCCCCTTCCCACTGCAGACTACGTCTGTGTGATGATGGGAATCTGTGCTGTCTGGTCACTGAACCCCTCCTAGACCCAGCCCTGAGCTAAGTGCTTTGTTCTCATTAGTACTGTCTCTCAGACCTATCCTGCAAGGTAGATACCATTATCCCTTGCCTACTGGTGAGACGCCTGGAGTTAGGAAAGGTCATGTGATCAGCCTAGGATCACACAGAGGTAGTGCCCACGATTTGCCACTTCTCTGTCTCCCTTCTGTCTCTGCTGCAGTGTACCTTTTGATACATACAGTGGTGGTTATTGAGTTTCCTCCTCTATCAGATTGTGACAGTCACACCTGTGACTGTTGGGTTAAGGAACTGTGTGAAGTGTCACTAATTTTGGTATAAGTAGTTTTCATACCTTCAAAATTAATTCATCCAAAATGTATTTATTAAGCTTCCTTATGGTGATGGACAGTGGCACTGGGATTGCAGCAACATCAAGGTATACTCTTATGGAACACAAGGTTGGGTGTATTAAATACAAAGTAAAATAGCAGGAATATTTTTAATAGCCATTTAATCTTTATTGATTTTTGTCTCAAATGTAGTTGCAATTTATGTATGATCTGTTACACATTCAGTGAGTAAGGATAATTTACTTAAAAATATCCTAGGAGAGTGCCATGTAGAAAAATGAAGTTTTCTCTAAATAACGCAGCCCACATTTCTTCCAGCATTGGAAAAGATCTCTAGTTCTTTTACTCAACACCTGATGAAGTCAGAGGTTTGCTTTTAGGGACCATATTGAATGAAGAATGCTATTTTGAAATGCTCAATAACCTCAGAACAGCAAAATATTCATATAAGGAAGGCATGCGGACCTGAGTTAACTGATTCTGAGCTACCATTTTGCACCTGCTATAGGCCCGCTGTTCACAGCATGAACCACCCTAATCCATTTTTTTACTTCCTCTTACTTTTGAGCAAATTCTATTTCTCCCTCTAGTGAACTTTGTGCGTGTGTGTTTTTCCCCTTATGTGCGTAGAGTTTACTTATTAGTTTGATGTGCCTGCACAGTTTTTTTTTCAGCCATGCTTTTTTTTTTTCAATAAAAAAGCAAACAACCAACAAGGCCCAAAGACTCATTTTGCTTTAATATACTTTAAAGTATATTTAAGAATTTACTTTAAATTCTTCAGATTTTCCTTTCAGTATTCCTGTCATTCCTGCCTTTACATTTGGTAGGTAAATTTTTTCGTATCTCTTACGTACAAGAAACTTAGAGAGTTTGCAAAAAAGGAACAACTTTTCTGTAAGGATGGAAAATAAGATACTGATATCTGTATCAGTGATGGTGGGAGAGAGGGTAAAGGCTTGTAGATGAAACAACTTTAAAGGTCATATATCCTAAGTGCAATAAAAGTAGAATGAGAAAGACATTTTCTTAGACAACAATAGTCTGTGTGTGTGTACGCATCCTTATCATAATAATGTTTGAGCCTATATCTCTAGTATATGTATACCTCAAACTGTACAGACATACAATGTATCAATATTTACCATAAGAAAATAGGAGAGAAATTAGATAATGAGATAAAAGGGGATGAGAGATTCATAAATATAGAATGAGCTAGATCAAGAATGAGATAAAATGACATAAAAATAGCATGGGTACACTCATGTGTACAGAGATATTTTAATACTAGTGTTTATGTTTTAACACATTTTAATATTATATGTGTATATTTTAAGATTGCATTCTAAAGGATTGTGTACCCCTTTTTGGAGATCATATACCTATAGCATGAAAGAATGAAAGGATACCTAATAAAAGAAAGAGTCTTTTATATATACCAACATACACATAGTGTGACTGGATTAGCAGCAAAGAATTGATGTCTATGACTAATGGGAGTGCCTTCTCAACCAAAGTTGAGTGAAGCAGATGAGAGCTCAGCAGGCATATGCTGCTGCTGTGAGCATACAAATAAGTTTGCTCAGTAGCTACAGTCTCCATGCCTAAGGCCAAACCACAAACTTGAAAACGCTAAGTGAGAGTGTGCGCAGTTCAGCACAGGCTCTGACCCTTGTTGTGGGTGTTCTTGGCAGTGGTAAGAATGTGGGATCCATTGGGAAAAGCCACCTACAGTAACTGTATGACATGGATGGATTTTGAAGACATATCTCAGAGAAATTTAATACTGGAACAACAAGTGGCTCCCTGGCTGTAGAATATACCCAACTGATGATGTTCTTTATCACTGGCATAAATAAAAGCCATCCTGCATTACATCATTCAACTTTAGGCTCAGTTAAATAGGGCAGGATGATCAGCTAATCTCATGTGGGAATCCACATGTGCCAACATTTATTGTTTTTCTTTTCCTCACCGAGTGACTTTTGTAACACGCAGAGGATGTGGTCACAATGAAATGATGGCCAATTTTACTTAAGTAAAAGGAAAAAACAGTCTATAGATTATAGAACACAATGAACAGAATTATTTTGTGTACCATGGACTCACTGGTTAGGCACCATGTTAAATGCTGTTTTGTGCATTGTTACTTGTCCATAAACAATTTTGTCTGTGATAATAATGAAAATAATAATGGTGCCAGAAGTAGGTCCCAAAAGATTGAAATGAGGCCACTAAATGAAAGTACACAGGGCAGTCTGTGCAGTGTGTCACTTGGTCAATTGGAAAGCCGTGGGGACTATTCTTGTACTTGCCAGGATGGAATTTTTCTTTTCAGTGTATTTGCGTGAGGTTCACTCCAGAGGCACTGCAATCTGTTTATAACTTTTTGGCAAGAGCTTTTGGAATAAAGCCAAAGAGACTGCCAGATAACGTACAGAAGCGAAGTGAGTTGCTTTAATGTTTTAGCCATCCTTTTTCTTCGGGACAAAGACATTGTAGTTTTATAAATCTCTACTAGTAATTTCTACCAGAATGAGTTAGAATTATTGTATGGAATTTCGCTCTCCTACATGATGCTCATTAAGTTAGGACAACTGGTATACAAAATCTCTCTGGCTTATTTTGACCATCCTCATGCTCAACAGATAATTTTAGCTTATCAAAGTCATACTCAAGGGAGAACATTAAAAAAAATGCTTATAAGCAGTTTTTAGAGATTCGGAGCCAATCCTCAAATCATCTGGGAATTAACAATAAAGGATTGTGTATATTGGTTGAAATACTGCCTCCATTTCACATGTTGATTTTTTAAAGATGGACTGTTTGATGATAACAGACATTGGTGAGGAACAGCCTCTTGAATTGAAGCCTTCTGTTAACTATTCAGAGCTCTGATCTTGGAGTGGAGAGTGCTTCCTGACAGCTCGCATCGCTTTAGTCTATACTGTTTTATTTTGACAGATTGGCCACAGCATCAGACAAAAGCAAGTGGCTCTCATGAAAAACAATTTATGGAGGGCTGCCAAGTAGAAATTCTTAAAAATTGTAGTTTGTTGCAAAATACTTGAATTTGTGAGGGAAGACATGTCAATAATTCTTTCAATAAGTATAATTATGTGGCTGTTTTCTGTACGTCTGCCCATTCCTCTTCATTTATTCATAGATAGCAATCTACAGTATGCCTTTTTATAGCAACAGAACAATGCTATTGTTTAGGTATTTGGGATTTTGTTTTTTGAGGGATGGGGAGAAAGAAAAATTGAATCAATATTTTTTAACAGGGAAAAGGTAAAAATTAATTTTAAAGTGGTTCCTTAGCTGGGCTTTTTTTTTCTAAAATTACAACTTAAAAATCTGTCTCTAGGTGCTGTAAACTGCAAACAGTGACCTTGTCTTAATACTGCAGAGATACCACCGTGGAACTTAGGGGAACTTAATTTACCGGTAAGAATATTTTCCTTAATTATTTGCTTTATGCATTTTTTAGTGCATTTAATTATTGCAGTGAATGGTAGAAGAGTATAGCCAGGGGGAGTAACACAGGATAATGGACCAGATATATATTGCAGTGAGGGTTTTTGTTTTGTTGGTTTTTTTGGAGTTGCATTAAAATGCTGGCTTGTTTTTGAAAAAGCAAAACACTCAACTCCGGTTATTTTTCTTGATAGCTGCCCTCTGGCATAACTGAAAGTTGTATCTTGATGATGTTTATCTAAATGTCATTTTTAATAGAAAATGAATTTTACCACTGGGATCTGAGACGGTCAGCTTCTTAGGAGGCTTGAAGTTTTAGTGAGAAAACCTGTCTTTCCATCGGTCAAACTGAACTCACCCCTCCATGGTCTGAAGGCCTTTCAGCTTCAGTAACTGTCCCTTGGATTTGGATCAGTGAGAAATCTGACCTGAATCCTCCTTTGGATTTTTTTCAAATTCTTTGTGCAGTACCAGGCTGAATTGTAATTAATTTCAAAGTGTTTGGAAGAGTGAGAAAAAGTCCACTTTCAAGGGCCAGACACACAGTGATGTGGCTCTGGGGAAGCTACTGAGCCCTTTTTACCTCCATTTCCTAATTCATCAAAGTGCAATCGTAGTTGTAATTGCCTGTGGGTGTGCATTAAATAATATTATTTTTTAAATGCTTATTAGCATTGTGTTTAGCCAGTAAATGTCAACAATTATTATCATTATTTGTTTTTAAAGTCAGAGTGATTTGAGAAACAAATGGTATTTTTTTCTCAATGTATTGAAGGAAAGAATAATATTCCTACTTTTATCAGGAGCACATTTTGTTCCCAACAGAATATGCCCTCCTGAAGAATTAAGATATTATTCAGTGCATGTAGAATCTTTCTATATGCTGGTTATAGACTGGAACCTTAGTAACTGTAAAATAAGACAATGGAAAGAGATGGAACACCTTTCCTTTATGAGCCATTGTTAGCACACCTGCTGGCTGGTGACCAGGATGGGCCTTCTAAATAAATGAATTGGGGGCTATTCCAATATGTCTGTGAGGAAGGCAGTGCATGTGCTTTGACTAACATTTGTCCCCTCCTCACTTAACGGAGTGGTTTTGCCCCTCACTGTATTGAGGTCCTCCTCTTGGAACTTTCTACAAGAGGGGTACTCTGCACAGGCTTGGTAATTCCAGTTAATCTGCTGGTCTATTAGAAAATTTTAGAAGCATTGGGAATATATACTCCTTAGAGAAAACTCTTCCTAAAATATGATTAATCAAATCCTTTGGTGATGACTGGTTATGAGGGGGTACATTTATTCTGTTAAAACATTTTAATGATTTCATCCTGAATGACATCTAGTTCATAAGAAATATAGGTACATCTTTTTAGAAATTAAAGGGTGAAATGTAATGTCTAGGGTATTAAATTTATAAAAAGATGTTACGCTACCATAAGGAATCTTAACTATGGTTGTGTCATGATGATACATTAATAGTTAGGTCTTAGACATCATGAAAATAGCTGGCAACCTGCAGAACAACTGATCACTCACAATGCATGTTTTCCTTTACTTTATTAAATTATGTTTATTTCCTTGTGTGCTTCTTGATGAGTGATAAAACCATTATTTAATTTTATAAAATAAGTTTTCTTGCCACTAGGTTTCACTGTGGTGCCTGAGAAATTTAGCTGTACAGCTCCACAGAAGCTGGATTCATAGTCCAATGAAACACACACACACACACACACACACACACACACACACACTTAAGGGTTAATTTTCTTTCGAAATCCTACATTTGGAGCATTTCCCCCATTCACCCTCTAAATAATCTTAATGGATTGAAATAATCCTGAGGCTCCAATTAGACTGTAATATGTGAATCCTAATTTTGCTGTTATATTTTTCAACACTCAAATTTATCTGAAATTCTTCAAAGCACAATCTATACCCTAAGTGTTAGAATCATGAGCTTGAGTTTCTGCATAGTGGATTAAAACATAGGCTTATCTGTACACTTCTGTACAGCAATATGTATAATTGTTGCCATACCTATGTATAATTTAAAGATGCCGTTATCCATACATCTTAACAGAAGGCTTAAGTAGTTGAATGACAGAGGCTATATTTTTGTGGTAGACAGTCACAGTAAATATGTGCTCTGTTAAGTATGGTGAGTCACCTTGTGTTGCCTGCTGAGACTGGTTGATGGTGCTTATCTCTACAAACTGCCCCTCCTACTGATTTATGGATTTGGTGAGTTCTTTTATATCAAAGACTAGGCTGCATGTCCTGAAAGGAGGCCAGAGAGAGTGGTATTTTAAGTCTTAGTAAAGGGCTATCATGTGAGAGAAGATTAAAGCTTGGTTTGTGAAGTTTTCATAAAGGTATTGATTATTATTTTCCAATAACATCCATGTCCACCGTCAGAGACCATTCACATGTTTAGTTACATCAGGGCTTGGTTTCAATACTCTGGGGAGAACAAGGTGTAACAACCCTTTCTTTTTGAAATGTTCTCAGTACAATGTATGTATTGCATTTCGTGGTTTATTTAGTGTCAACTTGACTGGGCCAAAGGGGCCCAGATAGCTAGTAAAACATTATTTCTGATTATGTCTCTGAGTATGTTTCCAGAAGAGGTTAGCATTTGAGTTCGTAGACTGAAGGAAGAAGTCTGCCCTCACCAGTGTGAGTGAGCAACAACCAGTGCCTTGAAGACCTGACTACAACACCGTGTCAGGGGAGAGTGAACTTGTTCTCTGTTGGAGCGGGGCTGCCATCATCTGCCCGTAACGTCAGTGCTGTTGGTCCTTGGTTGTGGGAATTATGCTGAATAACACCGTTGGCTTTGCTAGTTTTCCAGCTTGCAGACAGCAGATCGTGGTATTTTTCTCAGCCTCTATAATCATTTGAGCCAGTTCCTATAGAAAACCAATCCATCCATCCATCAATCTCCCTGTCTCTCTGTCTCTCTCTGTTTCTGTCCCACTCATACCCAGCAGGAAATCATTCCCCAAACCACAAGCCTATGACTCTCTAGGCATAATATATGCGCGCACACACA